AGAAGGGAATTTCCTTATCTTAGAAGAAACATTTATTTACCCAAGAGAAATGAAAACATGTAACCACCCAAAGAACTTTTCAAAGCAACTATACTCATAAAAACCAAAATCTGGAAGGAGCCTAAACTTCCAATTGGTAATAGAGAAACAAATTTTGGATTGTCTATACAATGAAATACTATTGAACAATAAAAAACGGAATGTGGTATTGAATCTTGCAAAAGATTATACAATAAGGAGTACAGCACCTCTACAACCATCTTTCTTCTTAATATCTCATAAGACTTATGAACTAGATAGTCAAAAAAGCAAAACTGAATAGTTATTTAAGCTACTATTTTATCACAGTCACAATAGGTGCTTCATGGAAAATCTATAATATGTACATTACAAAATATAATAAGGCCAATGTGGTCTCCAGAGTGGCTTTACTGAGACATTTAGGCCATGTTCTGGAGGATAAATGGGAGTTAATCACAAGAAAATGGAAGAAAGGTGTTGGTGAGAGGTCTTTAGGATAATTTCACATGCATAGGTCAGGACATAGAGAGAGGGTTGATGCATATAAGGAACCAAAGAGCAGTCAAAGTAACAAGAGCAGATGTGAGAACACTAGACTGGAACAAAACACTTAGGGCATTTTATTTATTTATTTTTATACAAAAAAAATGGGAAGCCATTATTTCATTGTAAGAACAGCAGAGGCAATTTTATATGTTTGTTTTTTGAAAAGTCTATGGACATTTTGTGAATGGGGTTGCAAAGTGGACTCCTTAGGAGATTACTGTGGTAGTCAAATTCATGATGGACTGGTGGCATTGGGGATGAGGAAAAGGGTAGATTGTAAAACAAGTCTTAGCCTGTTTTCTTCACAGACCTAACATTAATAAAATACCACAGTTAGATTAATCAAGGACTTGCTTTTTTTTCTTACGTTTTCTAATAACAACTTTTCAAATGTATAGAAAAATTGAACTAATTTTACAGTGAGCATCCATATATTCATTGCCTAGATTCTATCATCTGTATTTTACTTTTCCACATATCTATTCATCTTTTCATTCATCTCCCCATCTATAAACTATTGCTTTGTTTTGATGTATTTCAAAATAGGTGCAGAAATCAGCACACTTTGCCCCAAGTACTGCAATATACATACCATTACCTGGAGTTTAATACTCAGAGAAAATTTTTAGGAATAAAATTTGCAAGCAATAAAATCTACAAATGTTAAGGTATCATTTGACAGGTTTTAGCAAATGCATAGATCCGTGTATCCCAAATTTTGATCAGAACAGAATATATTATCCTCACTCAGTCCTCACCCTCAGCGCCATAGGTTTCTACTGCCATTGCAGGATACAGTTATCTGGATGAATGGTAAGAACTTTCATATAGTCTTATTTTGCCATTTGTCTATCATCTTTACTAAAGTGTTGTTCAGAAAAAAACTGCATTGGGTATTTTCTTTTGTAATACTGATTTGCAGAAGGTGTTGCCATATCTTGGCTTTCAGTCCATTGTTAGCTATTTATTTTATGAAAATTTTCTTTCAATCTTGCCTATTTATTTTCTTAATTATGCTATTTGATGGATAGTAATTTTTCATTGTTTTATTTATTCAATTCAATAATTTTTTCCCTTCATGGCAATTGTGTTCTCTATCTTGTCTGAGAAACCTTTGAATACTCTCAAGCAAAAAAGATATTCTGCCATATTTTATTGTAAAATATTTATTTTCAAGGTTTTAGTGTTTATGCTTAAACCTATGGTCTACCTCTAATCAATTTTTGTGTGTGGTGAAAGGTAAAAACTTGAGCTTCATTTTTTTTTTTTGACATAGGTATGTTGTTATTCCAGTACCATTTCCTGTAAAACTACCCTCTTTTCACTGTAGAGTTATTTGGTACCTTTGTCAAATATTGAAGGACTCTATAAATACGGGCCTATTTCTGGACTTTCTATTCTATTCCATTGGCAAACATTAGATTATCTTCATTGTTTTAGTTTTAAAGTAACTCTTAAAGTCTTCAGTGTTAGTCTTTCAAATGTATTTTTCATTGAGATTGCTTTGGATATCTTATGTCCTTTGCATTCCAATATAATTTTACAATTAGCCTGTTAATTACAAAAACAAAGAGGGCTAGTGGGATTACAATTGGGCTTATGTTGAATGTGACGATCAATTTGAAGTAAAATGGCTTCTTAAAAACACTGAGTTTGCTGACTCATGAATATGGTTGCCTGCTCATTTACTTGGATCCCCTTTAATTTTTTTCAGTAATATTTTACAGTTCTCAGATATTGAAGGTCTTTCACTAAATTTATTCAACAATATTTAATGTCTGTGATGCTATTATAACAAAATATTTTTAAACTTTCATCTTCTGATTGTTAACATAGAAAATACCATTTTTTTGTTTTACTCTTCTATAACCAAGCAAATTTAATCATTACTTTTGGTTTCTGTTTTATTGTTCAGGATAATTTATATAAAATTATGTATATGTAAAATAATATACATACATACATATTTCTTCTTTCTGAACCTACTGCCTTTATTTACTTTTACGTTATTAAAACTTCAATATCATATTGAACAAAAGTAGAAAGAGTGGACTTCCTTAAATTTCTCCCCACCTGAAAGAGAAAATATTTAATAGTTCATTATTAACCATGTGTTAACTGTAGGGTTTTATAAATTTTGTTTCTCAAGCAGAGCATGTTCTCTTCTGTGACTAGTTGCTGAGAGTTTTTCAAATCATAAATGAGAGTAGAAGTTTGCCAAATGTTTTTTCCTCCTTGTCAAAATCATGTTATTTTTTCTTCTTTATTGTATTACTTGATGAATAATATATAATGATGGCCAAATGTTAAACAAACACTCCATTTCTGGGATAAACTCCACTTTGTCAAAATATTTGCCTTTTATATACAGTTATATATAATTGGATAATATTCTACTAATGATTTTTTCAATTATTTTTATGAAGAATATTAGTCTATGATTTCCTCCCTCTACAATATCTTTATTAGGTTTTGAAATTAAGGTTATGTTGGTATCATAAAATATGTTAGAAGGTGTTTTTATTCCTATTTTCTGAGAGAGTTTGCATAAGATAGGTTTTATTTTTTATATAGTCATTCATATTATCTAAGTTGTAGAAGATGTTGGCATAATATTATAATTACCCCTTTTTATCTTTTTGGTATCTGTAGTAAAACCTATCTTTTACTCTTGTTGTTTGTGTTTTAGGCATCTCTTTTTTGTCAATCTAGCTTGGAAGTTGTCAATTTGTTGATCTTTCCAAAGAACTAACTTTTGGCTGTGATAATTTTCTCTCATTTTGAGAAGTTCTCTGTCTTTGGCTTTTGTCTACAACTTCATTAAGTTTGTTCTTTCTACTGACATTATTTTATTCTTTCTACTTATATTAAATTCACTGTGCTTTTCTTTGTCTAACTTCTCTAGTTGCAAGCTAATGTCACTAAATGTAAATATTTATTCTTGTCAAATATGTTCATTTAATGTCCTACTCTTCCCTCTAGGCTCTCGCTTAGCTACCTCCCTCAATAGGTTGTAGTTTCCTTTCAATTTTATTTGAAATATTTTCTAAATTTCTTCATAATTTCTCCTTTGACTTATATATTATTTAGAAGAAGGTTATTTAATTTCCAACTATTTTTGGAAATTAACAAATGAAAATAAACAAAATTTTGAAATAAATACAAATTCTGATTTTTATTTGTTTATTTAATTACACTGATACAACAGACTCTGTATAAATTAAATCTATTACACTTATTGAGGCAAACTTTAGGGACAAGGATATAATCAATTTCCGTAAACATATCATGTGCCCTTGAAAAGAATGTGTATTTAGCAGTAGTTTTGTATGGTGTTCTATAAATAACAATTAGCTCAATGTGGTTGATAATATTGCTAAAATTATTTATGCCTTTACTGTTTATGTAGTTTTTGATCATCAGTTTCTGAGTGAAGGAAAAGATTAACTTTTTGCTGGAGAATATTTGTAGCCTATGATTATCAGATTTATTTACATGGTGTTCTATATTTTGTGTTTCCTAAAATATATATATATATATATATGTATATCTATATGTATGTGTATACATATATACAAGTAAATATGAAGAAATATACATATATGATATATAAAACAATATCTAACAAATATACACATATATAGTTAGTACACATAACTTAGGTAATATTTATGACAGAATTATTAAAGAAAACCAATTTATTTCTAGGAAAATGGCGAACATGCCTTGATTTTTTTACATTCTTTTTTTCTTTCTCAGTTACATAAATGTTTGAAAAATCTTGCTAGTTAGTCATGAAACCAGGGCTCTCAATTCACCAGGTGACACTCTCCAAAATTTCACAACATTTATTAAGAAATGATCAATCTCCTAAAATCAACATGGCAAAACAAAATCCAAGAAATGATAACAAAATACATTCTTTATTAATTTTCCTCTCAAAAAAGTTCATATAGTTTTTCATAAATACTCTATATCAAAGGTCTTTATTGTGGCTCAAACCTAAGTGACACAATGTGTATTACTCAGGATGTTTTCTTTGTGTTTTAACAATTGACGTCACCACATTTTGAATATGTTTTATGTGAGTTGACAGCTATTTAACAGTGTTATTCATCATTATTAATGTATGAAAAAATATAGTACATTTAATATTTGTTTATGACCATGTTAAATTTCATCTACTTAAAGATATTAATTTATATACTGATTAAGTCATTTTAAAAAGTCATAATTTAGGAGAGCATTCCAGCAGCTTTGTTCTTCCTCTTTTACTTTAAATGGTAGAGGTAAAAGGTTAGTTGAAATTTCTGCATGCGATCCTGCTTTTGTTTTGGACTTATGGCATTCTTGTTATATATTAGATGTGTTTATTTTATGTCTCTCTGTGAATTATGCAGCTCAGCAGTTCTTCGCCTCTGGGTGAGAAGAGACTATTAGTTAGCCTTGGCTATAAATTGGTACCACTGGGATGGACAACTACTTAAATTATTATATTATTTTTCATAAGATGCTGTACTCTGAAGTCCTTCCCATTTATCAACCTAATAGCTCAGCGGGTGTCTCCTGCAGCCTTTATTGTCTGGGTCAGTTAGCTCTGGACGTTAGAGTGGTGATTATGAGGGCCAGGCTTGTGGTTTTAATCCCTATATGGGCCAGTTAGTTTCTCAGTTAGGAAAAACCCTTGTGCACAGCAATCACCTGCACTTGTAACCTTTCTGTCTTGTAGTTGAACACCAAGGGTTATGGAAGTGACATGTCATGGGAGTGCAGAAGACATAGTGCAATTCATCATTACTGCTAGAGAAATAAATCAAGGCACATATTCCCTTGACTAGATGTTTCTTTCATCCTTAAGTCGGGGAGCATACACATGGATTTGAAGCTATATATGCTGTGCTTAAATGATTTTTTTTTGTTAAACCAAATATAAACTCAAAAGTGTCATTGAATTTGAAATATTAAAAGATAAAGCAGCTCAATGCCTGAACTTTGGAATCCTTTGACAGCTCACAATGCACCATATCCAAACCCCCAGAAATTGTATTTTACTAAGCTCAGAAATTCCTTCATAGTAATTTGTCATGTTTCCCAGTCTTTCACAATCATCATGGTTGGCCTTTCCCCCAGGTGCATTTATTGTTTACCCTTGTTTGGATTGATGGCCCAGTTCTCACCTGTCTAGGTTGGTGAGTCTTGGCACAGCTTGGATTAAATCTTCCATCTCTCATACAGTTGCAATTTTCTGTAAGGATCCACATTCTCTCACCAACACTCCTTCATAACAGAGTCCCATTTTGACTCCATTATGAGGGGAAAGAAATTGGGGTCTTCACTCCTCATCTTCCTCCATTCAGTCAAAACTATCTTTTGGCTATCTGCTTTCTTCAAACTGTTGTATAAGTGGGAGGAAAAAATAATGAACTGCCGTAAGAAACTTATGATTAGGATATGAAAAACAGGAAGTGGGCATACTTAATTTTAACTCAAGAAAGACCATGGGCCATGAAACAATGTGTCTGAGAAAAGTAGAAGCAGACCTGTAAGAATACTTAAAATCCTGAGCTGTGTTCAGTGCTGAGCTTCATTGTCCTGAGTTGCATTCACCCCATAAAACAAAATGAGATTTGAAGGCTAGTGATATGGTTTGGTTCTGTATCCCCACACAAATCTCATCTTGAATTACAAAATCAATAGTAATCCCCACTCATTGAGGAAGGGACGTGGTGGGAGGTGATGGGATCATGGGGAGGTTTCCCTTACACTGTTCTCATGATAGTGAGGGGGTTCTCATGAGATCTGATGGTTTTAAAGTGTGGCACTTCCCCTTTACTTGCTGCCTGTCTCTCCTGCCACCATGTAAGACATGCCTTGCTCCTTTCTCCCTTCTGCCATGATTGTAAGTTTCCTGAGGCCTCCCCAGCCATGTGGAACTGTGAATCAATTAATCCTCTTTTGTTTATAAATTACCCAGTCTCAGGTACTATCTTATTTTATTTTATTTTATTTTATTTTGAGACAGAGTCTCACTCTGTCACCCAGGCTGGACTGCAGTGGCATGAACTCTGTTCCCTGCAACCTCCGCCTCCCAGGTTCAAGAAATTCTCATGCCTCAACCTCCTGAGAAGCTGGGATTACAGGCATGCACCACCAAGCCTGGGTAATTTTTGTGTTTTTAGTAGATACAGGGTTTCACCATGTGGGCCAGGCTGTTCTCAAACCCCTGACCTCAAGTGGTCTACCCAGCTCGGACTTCCTATGTGCTGGGATTACAGGCATAAGCCACAACGCCCAGCCTCAGATGGTGTCTTTATAGTAGTGTGAGAATGTGCTGATACAGCTAGTACAATTATTTTAAAATTGTTCCTTGTCACTTTAAGTTATGTGATTTAAGTTACTTAACACAAATCTTACGTTTTATCACCCACCTGCTTTAAAATAATAAAAAAAACCTATTTCAGTTATCAAAGCCTGATTTTCTTATCAATATCTCCTGCTATTCCTCTTTTTAACAGAGCAAAAGAAACTCAAAAAACAACCAACTCTACCTATTTACTTGCAATACACATCCTGAATAACCACATCACTCACGTGTAACGTGTAGATGGATGGAATCAAAACATTAATATTTGTTAATTTTGTCATCAGAATTGCCTTTATCATTTGCTGTGGTTTACCAATATTTGTCTCTGTACAACATCAATCCAGCTTTTTCTTTCTTTCTTTGTTTAAAAAATAAAGATAGAATTAATTTTTCCTTGAGTTTTTCCTGCCCCAATGATATATTTTAATTGCTGGAAAAATACAGTTCCAACTGTATTTCTGGTGTAGTGGGTTAAAGGTTGAAGGAACAATTGTTTTGACACACTTTTTCCTCAGGACATTTTCAGCACTGAAATTCAGGTCATGGAGAGATAAGTTAAAGTGCTGTTTTAGGAAGACCGTCGGGGGCAGATGCAGTATTTCTTTCGTAGCTTCCCACTTTGTGTACACAGCACTGCAGCATGCATAGAAGAGCTCACCAAGATTACCGCACCTATGGTAGGACGTTAGGAAGATAAGCTTCATCTCAGTCGGTGGGAAACCGTGCCTCTATGTCCCTGTATGCCTCTTCTGAATGCCACCGAGACGTGCTTGGTTCCTTTAAGAGAAGCAAATATTAATACCTCTCTTTTGTTCCATTTTCTCTTCATGCCCTGTGTCTTTTTGACCTCTGCTGAAAGCCGTGTGTGCCTTGGCACTCTGTTACAGCCATCATACTTTGTGTGTAATTGTTAAGGTCACATAAAGAATCAACCTTGAAAAAGATGACTCAAGTTGGATGTTTTTCTATGAAAAAGAAGTGTATGTTAATGCACTCAGAGAAATAAATAAACATTGTATCTGATCCTGTGGGGTGCAATAAAGTTTTTATGTGAGGAGCTGGGAATAATCACATCACTCATCTGTGCCACAAATATGAGTGAGCCAGGAAGGTTTTCTCTGTCAAATTGCTATAAAGCTTTTCTCGGTACTATCCCAGCTCATTCCAATTTTTATTTATGACAGGTGTTATCTCCAGTTTACTTTCTTTATTTTTCCTTTTTTGTCAAGTTTGTGAGCAATGGAACTTATATGCTTACCCTTGATAATGTGATAAAGAATACATAATTAACGTGGAAGCCTGGGTATTTGGTCATTTCAAGGGATAAGAGTTGGGTAGTATGATGGAAATGTAAGAGAGTTAATGAATAGCTAGAGGCACATGGATTCACTGAGTTCTTACTGGTCTTTGTCTGATGCTTAAGAAATACCTGAATCTGCTATGAAAGCCAGCATGTTTCCAGTGTTACAGCCATCCATTGGCATCCTATGGGGAAGGTGCCTTTGTTGGGATGAAGGGGTATTGGGTCAAGAATAGGTTTATGACAGAATGATTCTGAATCCGCAGAAAGATGTATAGGCAATAAAGAAAGTTTAGGAAACTAAGGATTAATAGAAGGTGATGCTCTGATTCTTTTATCACAGACTACATACAATTAAATGACAATGATAAAAATAGTAAAATGCCGTAGAATTTTTGTTTCTGAAAATAATAGAATATCAGGAATTAGATTTAAACTCCTGTCTTGAACAAACAGAATACCAAACAAAATGTATTAAACACTGGTTTTCAGTACTGGAAACAAGCCACTCAAGACAATGATCCCTGAGACAAGAGAATGAGTGAAGTGAACTCTAGGGCTGATTCAGCTTACAGCCTGAAGAGAATTGCAGGCTGCAGTACAGGGAACCCATTCAGTGCCTGGTTGCCTCTCTAAGTTGAGAAGGCAGAATTTATAGGTTGAGAAGGCAGAGTTTATTTATATAGGAAGGCCAGGCAGCTAGAAACACAATGTAAAATATTAGCAAACAGGTAGATATCATGAGAACTTTGGAGTTTTAAGGATGAGTCACCTTAAGAGTTCAGCAGAATACAGAACAGTACTCAAAACTGGGCAAAGATATCAGGCATGCAGAAATATCCCAGGAGCTGACTCTGGGCTAAGAATAGTAGCGTGTCCCCCTAGACAGAGTGAGAAGACCCACGAACACATGGAATGGCACTTCGAGAAGAGTTCTCAGAAAGTTATGACCTCAGTACTCTGGCCAAGTTATCTCTAGATTAAGGGCTGCTCTTATCGCAGCTAAGAATGTTTAAAAACAAGCCTAGAAATAATTGACTGGTTCAAAGGGACTTAATTGAATCTTAGAAAATAGCTAAAATATAGTCAAAGATATATAGGGAAAAAAATATCACCCGACAAGATTTCAATGTTAAGAATCTAATAAAAAATTATCAGGCATGAAATGAAGCAAGGAAAATGACCCTTAGTGAGGAGAGTAATCATTCAACAGAAACAGACTGTAGGAAGTGGAATTATTAGACAAGGATATTAAAGAAGCTATTTTGAATATGTTCCATAGGTTGAAAAAGTAGAGGAATATGTGAACATTCTGAGGATGGATATGAAATGCAAAAATACTCAAATGAAAGTTATGGAGATGAAATATACAATGTCTGGCATAAAAATATATTGAGTGAGATTAACAGCATATCAGCATTGCAAAAAAGCAGGACAAATGAGCTTGAAGATCTAACAGTCAAAACTATCCAAAAGGAAATCCGGTAGGATTAAATGATGGAAGAAAAAACGAGCAAAGAATCTGGAGGCTGGACAACATCAAGAGGCTAACAATATTTATAACTGGAATCCTTAAGAAATAGTTGAACAAATAGGCCACTGTTTTTCAAATTCAGCAAAACCATAAACATATAGGCCTAAAAATTTGTATGAACCAAAAGAAGAAGAAACATTAATAACAGAACAAGGCTAATAATAATCAATTTTTTTAAAATTAGTGGGAAAGAATCTTAAGAAGAAGCTGCCCCAAAAGTTACCTTATGTATAAAGGGCAAAAAGAAAACAGCATAGGAGACTTCTCATTAAAATGTGCTAGCTGTAAGTCCATGAAGTTGCACATTTACAGTAACAGAAGAAAAAATTAACAGAATTCTATATTCAGTAATATTTTAAAAATTCAAGGCAAGATGAATATTTTTTTGGATCTATGAAAGCTGAACAAATTCATCTCTGATGGTCCAGCAAATAAAGAAGTATTAAAGTCCTTCAGTCAGAGGGAAAGGATTCCAGGTAGAGATACTGATCATATGAATGAATGGAATGAAGAATGCTGAAAATGGTCTAGCATTCATTCATTCATAAGAACCTGAGCATCAGAAGCATTTTATTAATGGTATTTTATCTCTTCTCAACAGGTAAAGTAAACACTAGAGTAATAAGAAAGATATATTACCTCATTTTTTAAAAATTATTTAAAACATAACTGAAACATGCAGCCATAAAAAATGATGAGTTTGTGTCGTTTGTAGGGACATGGTTGAACCTGGAAGCCATTATTCTCAGCAAACTGACACAAGAACAGAAAATCAAACACCGCATGTTCTCACTCATAGGTGGGTGTTGAACAATGAGAACACATGGACACGGGGAGGGAAGCATCACACACTGGGGTCTGTCGGGGGGAAATAGGGGAAGGACAACAGGGGGTTCGGAGTTGGGGAGAGATAGCATTGGGAGAAATGCCAGATATAGGTGATGGGAAGGAAGGCAGCAAATCACACTGCCATGTGTGTACCTATGCAACAATATTGCATGTTCTTCACATGTACCCCAAAACCTAAAATGCAATAAAAAAAAGAAAAAAGAAAAACAACACCAACAACAACAGCATAACTGAAACAACTCGAAGGAGTAACCAAAACTCTCACTTCAAGAAACCAGAAAGGATATAAGAAAATAAACACAAAACGAGTAGAAGGAAGGAAATAATTAAGATTAATGCAGAAATCAATGACATTGAAAACATAAAAACAATTTTAAAAAAACAATAAAACCCTGCTGGGCACGGTGGCTCACGCCTGTAATCCCAGCACTTTGGGAGGCCAAGGCAGGTGGATCACAAGGTCAAGAGATCGAGACCACCCTGGCCAACATGGTGAAACCCCATCTCTAAAAAAAAAAGAAAAAACAATTTTTTAAAAATCAATAAAACCAAAGCTACATTTTTGACAGGATCAAAACAATTGATACATTTTTCACAAGACTGACAAAGAAGTCAAGAGATCAGATACAAATTGCTAACATTAGGAGTTGTGTAGAGAGGATATCGCTAGAGACCACAGAGGTACTAGAATCCTGGTACTACAAAGAACTATGTGTACATAAATTTGACCAGTTAGATAAAATGGACTAATTTCTTGACAACTACAAATTGACAAAGAACAATTCACCAAGAACAATCTTAATACCCAGGTGATTTAATTCTACTAAATAATGAAAGAATAACAATAATCCTAAGCAAATTCATCCAGAAATAGAAGATCAATGAACACTTCTCAAATCATTTTATGACACCATCTTTACTTTGATGCTAAAAATAGAAAAAGAGAATACAAAAAAGACAACTTCAGAACAATATCCCACACAAACATAGATATATAACACTTCAGCAAAATGTTAGCAAATAAAATCCTGTTATGTATGTATAAATCTATCTTTCCATCCATCTGTTGAAATAATACTATATTACTAACAAATCAGATTTCTTCCAAAATTCAGAACTTGTTCAACATTTAAAAATCAATTAATGTAGTTCGTTATATTAACAGTCTAGAGAAAAGGGAAAAGACACACAGTAGTATTAATAGACACAGGAAGTACGTTTCATCAACTAGCCATTTTCTTAGAACTTTTCAGTGGTTTCTGATGGCTCTTAGAGTAAAGGATAAATTCTATCAAATGTACTACAGCTCAGTTCTGAGATGGACCCCTATAATCTCTGAAGTTGTACTCTCCTATATGCTTCTATGAGCCATACATGCTTTCTCAGGGTTCATGCATTATAAGATCTTTTATGCCTTGTGTTATCCTCAATCAAAATTGTCTCTGCTTTGAAAAATTTTCTCCACCTTTTAATTTCTCCCCATCACTGAGTTTTGGCCTTTGTGTAATATAACCAGTGATACTTTCATGGAAAGGCCAATTCATATAAATTCTTATGTTTTAACAACTTTTTATACCAATTCCTATTTATGATTGTGTTCATATAATTTAAATTTTATCTACACATGTGAATGCTTACTGTTCTCTTCCATCTAATTCATGTTAAGCATTCATAAATAGTTAATAAATGAGTAAATTATCTGCTTTCTTTTTACACCTTCATAATGACTTGATCATCAGAAGCATTTTACTATTGGCATTTCATCTCTTCCCATTAGGCAAAGTAAATGCTTCGGAGAAAACAAGAACATGCTAAAAGTATCATTCAATCCATTTTATTTTATATTTAAATAGTTTTATTATTTTAACTTTAATGGTATAATAAATGTTTATTAGCATTTGTCATTTATTCTTTAAATAAACATTTATTGAGTTCCTCACACGGCCACACACAAGTGATAGACGAGTGAACCAGACAAACCAAAGCCCCCAAATCTATGAAGTACACAAGTATGTGGGTCTCTATCATTGTTGTTCCTTTCATTTTTAAGAAACACAATGTAATGAATTAAAAGAAAAAGCAGTTTTTAGTCTT